AAACCCTTGTTTTTCATTTCCATTAATTTACAGTTCCCTCTCTTCGGTGCACATGCCCTGGGTCAGGCGGCATGTGAGAAAACAAGCTTTGCAACCCCTTTTCAGTTTCCGCTGGTGTTAAGCTAATATTTATTTATAGTAAACTGTATCTTGAATGTGCTTTTAAGAATCCATTTGCAAAGCCTACCACAATGAATTCATTGTGGTTTTCTCCTTTTGAACTTTATTAGCAAATGTGAAGGATCAGTGTAACTAGTTACACTGTATTTCACTGTCATAATTCCCTAAAGTATGGGAACACCTCAAAAAGTAGTAAGGCTTATGAGCATTTGTCCCATAGTTGTTGTTTTCTCCCTGTGCTGTTAGTAACCATCTGGTTTTGGAAAGGCTGTGCAGGTATTCTTTCAGGGCCAGGGCTTTCCTACCTCACCATGCATGTATCCCTGGGTCAGGGCTTCCCTTGGGTTCCCCACACCCACATATGGTTTCCTTTTCTTCCTTCTCAGAATCCTTCCTTTTAAATGCATATACAGGAAGGCCACCTGCCAGATAAAGCACTCTGTTAGCCTCTTTTGATAATGTGCCCTTTTCTCTTTTCTCCTTTTTCTCCTTTCATAGTGCAGTGGTTTGCCCTGTCCCCTCTTTTCACTGTCAGTAACCTGCAGGACAGGTACATCTGTCACCAACCCCAGACCTCTGCTCTCCTCCTCTCCAGGTTGACAGGGATTTGTCGTTCCCGCTTGCTACTGCGTGTCAGCCCCTGGGCTCTGTTTTGAAGTCTTCTTTTCTCTTCTTTCAATTTTGAACGCCACTTCACATGCTCTAAGAAGTTTACCTTAAATACTTTGCAGTTAGTTTTCAGTCTGAAATGAGTTTTGACAGTATTCTGATAGATGCCTATCAGGATTTTTTCAATTGGAAAAAATGTATTTTAAAAAATGAAATCCAGACATTTCTTGCAGCATTTAAGAAATCCCAAGCCTTTAAGATTATGCCTAAAGTTTGCAGAGCACGAATGCTTCTGGTAAAAGCCCCTGACAGGCTTTGGGATGCACTTTGCTAAGCTGAGAACATCCAGTGCTGCCTTTTATATAGTGTGTGGATTCTGCTCAGACCTTGAGATCCAGGAGACCAGGGACATCTAACATACATGGAGGGAGAAGTGTGCTACCTTTGGGGCAATATTCTGCTTTCTCAAACACGGCTCCGAAAAGGACGCACTTAAGAGTGGTACACTGAAGGCAGAACAGTTCAGAGTCCTTCACATTGTGGTTCATGTAATGTCTTCTTCACCCTGGCTTAGTAAAGGTTTCAGAGGATCCATCCCATGTACTTGTGGCGCAGGGGGGCGAGGGGTACATTACCACTTTTGCTGCTCTCTTGGTGGGCCTCATGGTATTTATTAGAGGCAAGCTGTGTTCAGGGTTCAAACCCAGTACTGAATCAAACAGCATCTATTATTGGGCATGAATTGAAAACTGAAGCCTATCCAATCTTTAAAACTGTAAGAGTGGGCAGATGCTGTTCTTTGTGACACCCTACACG